AAATTCATGAAAAACTACGAGCTACGAAAAGTATGGAAAAAACTACGGATTTTACAGAAACAAGAGCAGGAGAACCAGTACGCAAAACGGAACCAACTAATTCATTCGATGATTGGCTGAATACTCGTGTTATCATATATCACGTGTTGAGTGCGTTCCTAGTTTTGAAGAATTAGCCAATCGTAGATCAGTAACTCCAACCGTTAACGACTTATCAATAGTTCCACCCAATTGTCTGTCTCCCAGGTTCCTCGCTGATGCGTGTTTAGGCTGCATTCGGCTGCATTGTGTAGTTTACGGCGAGAGCTTAGTGTGTGTCTTGTGAATTGTGAATCAGGTGAAAGATTTTTAATCATAATGCTGCCTCGAACGAAGAAGCCAAAATTATCAAAGCAAAGTTTAAAGATTCATATTCTTCAGAATTTCCATGCATTAAAGCGTCCGAAATTTCTGTGAATCACGCACACTGCAGTGTATGCAACAAAGACTTCTCAGTTGCTCATGGCGGAAAAGATGACTGTAAACGGCATGTGTTTTCTCAAAAGCATATAGAACTTGGCACCGTAAAATCTAAAGAAATAACAAATTTCTTAATAAAAGGTGATGAAACAGATCCTATAAAAGCCGAATGCTATTTTGTTCGTTTTTTAATTGAACATAATCTACCGCTTTCTGTTTCGGATCATTCCAAAGAGCTTTTCAAAGCAATGTTTCCGGATTCTGCCATAGCAAAAAAATTTAGCTGCGGTCATACCAAAACTGCTGCTATTGTGAAAACGCTTGCAGAAAATACTGTTGCTGATATTATAAAATCAGTGTGCAGTACATCATTTTCTCTAAGTACTGATGGAAGTAATGATAACAATGATAACAAACTGTACCCATTGGTTATAACATACTACAGTAAAGAAAAGGGAGTGATAATTACTTCATTGATTTCTATTTTAGAATGCACGAATAATACAGGAGAAGGTATTTTTAATTGTATAAATGAAAACTTTAAAAACAAAGGTTTAGAATGGAAAAATTGCTTATCATTTTCTTCAGATAATGCTAGTAATATGATTGGAAAGTTTAAAGGTGTAGCATCATTTATCAAAATGCATCAACCAAGTATAATCACCCGAGGTTGTCCGTGCCACCTCTTGCATATAGCTGCAAAAAAAAGCTACTGAAAAATTAATTGGCTCAGAAATTGAAATGTTGATAATAGATATATATTTTTACTTGGAGAAAAGTTCGAAACGGAAGCATAGCTTCAAAGTTGCTCAACAAATTTTGGGACAGAATGCAAAATCTCATAAAATTTTGAAATATTGCAGTACGAGATGGTTGTCTCTTTTAGAATCTATAACAAGGATTTTGGAACAGTGGGATGCTGTGATAAATTTTTTTTGGAGATAAACCAGATAACAGTGAGAATGAAGGAAAGAGATTGCAAAACATTAAAAAAATTTTACAGTCACCGACCACCAAATTGTACTTGTTATTTTTGAAAAATACTTTGCCTTTGTTTATAACAGTAAATATTAATTTGCAACAACAAGCTCCTTATATACATAAATTGAGAAGAGAACTTTTTGAACTTTTAATGAATTTATTTGTTAGATTCGTAAAACCATCAGTAATTTCTAAAGAAAATGAAGATGTTACTCTAACGTCTATTCCATTTCAGAAGTATAGTAAACAAAAAGAAAATGAAAATTTAGTGATTGGTGCGGAAACAAGACTATATTTAAAAAATGCCAAGTTGAATGAAAGTGAAGTGAAATCATTTTTCAATTCTGTGCGAGCTTTTTTTGTAACTGCATGTTCATATATAATTGATAAATTTCCACTGAGTGATCCATTTCTAAAACATGCTGAAGTTGCTGACATCAACTTGAGAACTGAAGTCTCATTTTCATCTGTTCTTTACTTGATGAATACTTTTCCATCCATTATTGATGAAAAATGTCTTAATCAAGTAGAAATTGAATTTTCCATGTATCAAGTAGATGATTTGAAAGAAATTGTAGATTTGCGTATTGATATAGCATGGGGAGAAATTGCCAAATTAAAAAATATGAATGGGTGTATTAAATACAAAGTATTGCCTTCTGTAATGCTTGCTGTCTTAATAATACCTCATTCAAATGCAGCTTGCGAAAGAATTTTTTCTATTGTTAAAAAAAAATCAGACGGAATTTCGACCAAATTTAGGTCTTAAAACTCTTGAAGCAGTTTTGATTGAAAAAATAAATATGCAGGCAAATGAAGAACTGTGTTATAAAAAAAACATTCTCAAAATCAGAACTTAAGCTTGCTAAGCATGCTACATATAAATCTTTGCATTCATAAATTATGCGTATTTTGTTTAATACTTATATGTATCATTCTTGGTTATTTAAATTTTATTTCCCTGTAGAAATCATATCCAGAATAAAGATATGATTTATAGCTTCTGATTTTTTCTATGATTAGTAGTGATTTGAAGTACTTTTTATTAGTGAATGCTTGAGGAGTTAAAAGAAAATTTCTAATTAAATGTGCATATAATTTACAAGGTATATTTTTAATTATTCAGTTTTATATGTATATGGATTTTAAATGTAATAAAATTGATTACAATTAATTATTAATTTAAAATTAATGAATGGTTAATTACAACATACGCTACGCGCACATTTTCAAAGTTGTAAAAATGTCGTTCGCGCGTTGACTACTGACAAGGTTTGCTGAAGGTTGGAGTCTATGCGAATTAAATCACGTTTTAAGTCACGCTAGGCCTAAAGTGGTGGCTATTTGTTTACATTTGAAACTCTTAGTTGTATAGTGAATTAAGTCATTTGGTGTACCAACTTCTAGTAGTAGATAGTTTCTTTTTGCCGAGTGGGACCAAAAGTTAATTTTAAATTTTATTGAAGCAGAATTTTGTCTTTCTGCCCATTGGCCGAATTGGTTGTTTAAAAATTATTTTGCAAAGCGTGGCTGCTCGCATGCGTCATGAAGTATATGTAAATGTGCGTGACATTATTTTGATTTTTTTATGTGTATAGAGGTGTTTATTTATTTATATACAATGTTTTGTAATTTTCTGTTATGTTTTCTATCTTAGGTAATTTATTCATTGGTATGTATTAAAATGTCTTGTTTGTTAGATGCATATGTACGTAGTTTGTTATGCTTTTATATTTGCAGATACTTTTATTATAAGGTGATGCGGGTTAGTAATGATGAATCAGAGTAAAGGTGGATTTAATTCTGGTGCTATCTTACGTGTTATAACTAGAAAGCTTTGTGTTGTTCTGTCACGTCCTATATACACTGCTCGACATTGAAATGCAACACCAAGAAGGAGTGGTCAGAAACAAATTTTAGAGTAGACGCACGTCACTGAGTTATGCGAATGATGTGAAATGCGCAGCTCTCCGACGCACGTGAAGTAAGATATAAGGGAAGGAACCTGCAGAATGGGCAATATTCGTGTCGTTATTTCTGCCAGACGAATTATCGAATAAAGTTGGTTTTTGCCCCGGAGGATACGTGTAATAGGAGAGAATGCCAGGCCGCCGTCAACGAAGGCACTTCCAGTAGATAGACGATTTTACGAGGGGTATGGTGATTGGACCGAGAAGGGCGGGTTGGGCCTTACGTCAAATCGCAGTTGATATCCACATGGATGCGAGTACGGTGCATCGGCTATGGCGAACATGGTTGGAGTAAGGAAATGTGGGAATAAGGAGGGGTGCAGGTTCAGCCAGAGTGACATCAGCACGTGTGGATCGACGCATCCGCCGACAAGCTGTGGCTGTCCCGCAAATCACTTGTACCGCGATTCTGCAGCATGTGCAAGATACCATGGATATTCCCGTGTCTATCAGAACTATTTCCCGGCGATTGGTTAAACGTGGCCTGCACTTACGGCGTCCGTTAAAAGACTGCCATTGATCCCACAGCATAGACGCCAACGTTTAGAATGGTGCCGGGCTGGAGCGATGTGGATTACAGAATGGCGAAATGTCGTGTTCTCAGATGAGTCACGCTTCTGTTTATCCAGTGACAGTCGCCGCATACGTGTGTGGTGTCGACGTGGAGACAGATCTAATCCGGCAGTAACTGTGGAACGCCCCACCGCGCGACAACATGGCATAATGGTTTGGGGCGCTATTGCCTATGATTCCAGGTCACCTCTAGTTCGTATTCAGGGCACTATGACGGCCCAACGATACTTGGATAATGTACTGCGGTCGGTGGCAATCCCCTACCTTCAGGGGCTGGCTAATGCAATTTTTCAGCAGGATAACGTCCGACTACACAGTGCTCGTATCTGCCAACGTGCTCTGCAAGGTATACAGATGCTTTCCTGGCCACCGTACTCTCCTGACCTGTCACCAATCGAACATGTGTGGGATGTGATTGGACGCCGTTTGCAGCCCCTGCCTCGTTCAGAAGACGAACTGTGGCAAATGGTTGAAAGGGAATGGAGAGCCATCCCTCAGGACACCATCCGCACTCTTATTGACTCTATGCCTGGACGTGTTTCTTCGTGCATCGCTGTCCGCGGTGGTCCTACATCCTACTTAGCCGACGCCGTTCTCACTCTGCATTCTGACTAATCATTTTGAAATAAAGATCATTTATTGCTGCTTGCTGCCTCTGTCTTTTTTCCAAATTTCATCACTTTTTGACCATTCCTTCTTGGTGTTGCATTTTCAATGTCGAGAAGTGTATAAATTATTTTATTTCTTTAGATGCTTATTTATATGCCTGTTTGTTCTAACCTTTCTACAAAACTTCAAGTATGTCACGGTGCTCTTGAACATTGATAACTTAGTTAAAAAGGATTGATGCGAAAAAATGAAGGCAACACAAATATTTCTGTAAGTAATAACAGAAACTATCCCCGACAGAAAAATTCAAAAGTATTTCCCTGTATATTTATTTTATTAAAACTTTATCTGAAGAAGATAATTAAGATTTTGTTATCTTATGCTATCTTTTTTTTCTTTTCTTTTCAGCTTGTTTTGAGACACGAAATTGTTTCTAAATCGGTAGTTTGAGATTCGGATTATTCTAGAGCGCATGGAAACCATCGATCATGTAAGTTATCAAAATATTTTCGTTCATTATTTCAGTACTTGTGTTCTGTTGTTAGAAAAGGAGATGAATATTTGCTGAAAGCTTATAGTGAATATGAAGCTTCTGCTAATTCAGTCATAATGATATCTATACAATGTTGAAATCCAGATACTGATAATTGACTATGGTTTAATGATAAATAAGTTTAAAAAAGAGTTTCATATGCAAAAGTTAAGGTACTTTTCCATTTTGCCGGCGCAAGCGATAAAGTCGCCAAAAATGGTACAACTGATGCCAAACGGAATCTTCGCTGGTAACCTTTTACGCCTCATTTTCAAAACAAATCGCAGCCATTTCTTATTATATTGATTGTTTCTTTCAATACTGGCATACAATTACATAGAATTTTTACCAGGTAGTTCAATTTTATGCCCTAAGGCCATTCGCGGTAATTAAGTCAATTAGGATGCAATGACACTGCTCACCCGAAGCCGAAAATATAGAAAAGGCAAAATCAAGGGTTAAATTCATCCATTCTAATGAGAATGCACAGCGAAGTAAAGCACTGCAATTTTACATAATTTCTGAGTAAGCTACTCGTACGAATTTAAATAATTCTTGCATTTAAACTTGTATTCCAAATTAAGATTTAATTTGAAATTAATGTAGATAATTACTGAGAGAATTAGATTTTTGTTGCGTAGTTTACGTGTGATGAGATCACTTGGGGTCACGTGATGTGAAACGGCGAATCAAGATGTTGTAACATGAAAGCATAGTAAATTCTTAAATTAATGTCTTTTTACAAATTTATCGTCTTTATTTATTGTCTTTTTATAAAATTTTAAACAATATTGAAATATTTATGCGTTCAAAATAAAAATTTCTTATAACTAAACATTTGTTAACATTTTTTTATGTGTATACTGTGTGTGCGTTGTCGCCCCATAAAAAGTCTGCTTGGCGAGATTTGCGCCGGCGAAACGGAAAAGTACCAAAATTAATTTATAATTCGCTTTAGCTGCAGAACAGTCATTATTATTTTCTCCGTTTATAAAATTTGCATCTGATGTTACGTGTTTTACACTTTTATAAGTTGTGAGGTTATAGTGAAAAGTTATAGGCTTTCACTGTTGAAAACTGTGACCAAAACTTTAATAGGCGTAAAACGACTTCTAAGAACAACAGAGACTCCAGAAGGGGTATAAAGGACCCTTTATTTTAAACTGAAATGGATGAATAGAAGGCGAACCTAGTGCTTACAAATCCAACAATATCGCACATTTTTTCAGACGATTTTGCTTTGCTATAAAGAAAGTCGTCTGCTTGAAATTTGTTTTCAGCTGCAACTATATTTTTGAAAGTATAAATTATCATCTGCTACTTGACAGTTTTGTTTTCATGCAAAATGTCGCTTTTAAAGAAGCAAAAGATGGAAGGCTATGTTTCTGTTCTTCCTGAAGAAAATTATTCGCATCTAGTTAATAAAATATGTTGTAAAAGCCATGGTTTTTCGACATGTAAAACTATGATAGGTAATGTTAGTCAAAATTTAGCTTCAAGTGGAACAATTGTTCCAGTTACTTATCCAACAAAGAAACAGAATATTTCGAATGTTGGAAAAGTAAGATCTTTAATGTTAAAATTCGCCAAGTCAAAGGACAGTTGCAAGATAATTAAAATGCTGAGTATCAACTGTAAACAAAGAAATTAATGCTGATTTGAATCTTAAAAAGGCGAAACAACATAATGTGCATCAGCTTTATCACCAAACTGCAGCATTCTTTATGAGAAACATTTATCCGAACAAAAATGGAAAAATATTGTTACAATAGACGAATGTTGAGTGTATTTAAATGACTGCAATAAAACGAGATCCCTTTATCATCATCAAAGAGGAGAAAAAATCTTAAACCATTGTTCAAGCAATCTAAAGAAAGTTTTTCTAAGGGATTTATGGTTGTTGCTGGTTTTTCGTATAACGGCAAATTAAAAATAAAGAGAGTAAAAAAAAAAAAATGTTAAGATCCAGCTCATCATGTTATCGAAAACATATTTTATAGCCGATTTTCAAATATGAAATAGCTTCTCTTTACACACAGTGTGATGCATCAGTAAAACTGCATCAAAACAAAGCAAGCAGCGACTCGTCAAAATCTACTGTTAATTTACTGGAAAAAATGAAACAAGAAACGGGTGTCAAGGCCATATCTTTCACTCATATCCCTACTAAATCTCCTGATCTATCACCAATGTATTTTTGCCGATTTGGACTTTTAAAATGCTGGCTGTCCAAACGTCGACCTACAACTTCCTGAGACTTTGGAAAGCTGTTCGAGAGCAATACCATAAAATAGTACCTCTTCCGATACTAGAAAAGGCTTTATTGTCTTGGAAATAGCGGTATATTAAGATACTAAAGAATAAGGGCTATCAAATAGAACATTTAAAACATAAAAATTTTAGGTAAAATGTTTCTGTAATTACAATGAAAATTGTCTAAATAATGTGCGAACAGCCTTTGTATTTATCGCGAGAAGTTCAAAGTAGAAATTCAAATATAAAGCTAAATTTAAAAATTAATAGCCAAAGACTACACAGAGTAATTTGTTGTGAAGTTGGCTCGGACTTCACCGTCGTAGATACGCAGCGAATGGCAGCCATTTTCATCCAAATCCAAACCAAACGATATAGCTGATGTTGCCACAGTTGGCATTTGAAATATTCGTATGAAAATCTTCGAGCATTTTCTGTGCATTAAGGTTAAGAGAACGGTATTTGCTCTTTGTACGCAGTATTCATACTTTTTAGTCATTATAGAAAAATTCGTATATTACAGTTACATGTAATGTGAAACCTTGGCTGATTCTATTTTATTAATAATTATCTTATTTCTTCAGCAGCAAATTGCCAATTTCATTCGAACTGAATTTTATGCCTAACGATGATTTTGTTACTGATAATTTGGTAACACATCATTAGATTTTTCGTTATTTGATCTTCCTGCATGTTTCTTTTTTCTGCAAGCATCTTCGTTTACACAAGGACTATTTTGGACAAGCAACCCCTTTTCCAAAATGAACTGTTACCACAGACCCCCATGGTCAAATTACCTACTTTTAAGATCAACCCTCTTATTCATAATGGTCCGCTAACTTAAAACAGCTGCTACAGAGTGTTATTTTTCATTCTGACTTAGGTCAATAGAAGAAGACAGAGTGAGAATTAGCAATGCTTTAAGTTAGCAGACTATTATGAATAACGGGGGGCCTATCTTTAATTTTTTCCTATTGATACTAAATACCTAGGTACTAAAGGAACCAATTGGAAAACTTTGCACTTGGTTAAGTTGAGTAAAGTTGACTTATTTTCTCATCAAAATTTAACAAAATAAAAAGACATACAATTCAGTAAATATCAAGTTTAATTTATAATGATTATTACAAATTAAGTACTTAAAGAATTTTAAGTAGGTAGGAAATTATAATTAAAAAAGTATTAATCCGTAACCTAAGTGCAAGCTCGTTAAATAGTAAAATATCAGGAACATGTTTGGACTTGATCATGAATTCGTTCGTGTTAAATCGCGTAAGCGTCAAATAGAGAGCAAGTCAAAACGCGCCTGAAAGACGTACGTTCGAACTCATTATCTTGCACAAACTTGTCCACACAGACTTGCCGAGTTCTTCATCTTGTACGAACTTGAGACTTTACATTACTACAACAATGCTGTTTCCTACAAAAATATTAATTATTCTTAGTACACGTAACACAACATAAACAATACAGTACCTACCTATCTTGAAAGTTTTAAATGTTAATTTAATAGGGGTCGATTTTTAGACCTCGTCGACCCCCAAAATCAGTTTTCGTTTATGTCGACCCCTAGGAAACCGGTCGATTATCGACCACTTTGGGAATCCCGGGTTTACACCTTCCGTTTGCCTTTTTGAAAAGTTTGTCAAAGTTTATTGAAATTTGTAGTGAATCTGTTTTCATTCGCAGCCTTTGAGAGGTAATTGATTCTCTTCATGTATTTGTCGGTCACTTCCGTCCTCTTCATCAGAGATTTAATTAGAAGGTACTGTAAATGGGCCGGTTGGGCACAAATGGCAAAGCACGAACTGCTTCGAAACGTGAGCTATATTTTTCTTTTCCTTTCGCTGACCGTCTGGAACGCTCGATTTACCACAGAATCATAAACGAGTTCGTACTTTTTTTTAAACTTCTATTAATGTGAACGGTATAGTTTTCTTTCTATCTCACTCCCTTGCTTTTCTGTCTACATTCCCGATACACCTGTGTTGGTTTTTAAACCTCCGTCCCCCCCCCCATTTTGCAAGATTTGTTTGTAAGGTAATCAAGTTTTCTGTGAAATGGAACGCTTGAAAAAAAAAAAAAAAATGTTTCATTGTACTAAATCAGTTTTAATACACCTTTGTTTGAGCTTTTAAATATACCTTCCAGTTCCTAATGAAATATAAATGCAAAAGACACGTATGAAAGCAAATTTTTAAATGAAGGGACTATAGATGAATATGAAAAATACATTACAAATATACTTTCTTAAGCCAATAAACATCACAGCGTATTTACATTCCTTATTTTCAGATCGCGTTCGTAGTAATTTGATAAATGCTTGCGTCTATCTAAGCAAGTATTTTCTTTATTTGTAGAAAGTTTTGTCAAAAGTCACGTAATTTTAATTTTTGCCTTTGTAGAATTTATGGCGTTATTGAAAATATATATGCTGATAACGGAAAGAAAAATAAGCAGTGGATTTTATTTCAGATGAAATCCAGCAAGTAAATATATTTGCTTACAATTTTGTTTTAACTATTATTCACATTGTTTTAATTACTTCAAAGGATTCAATTATACTTTAAATTATTCGATATGGAATACATTAACTATTAAATTTCATAACACGCTAATTTTAATACTGCTAATTCGTAGTTTTAAACCATTTGTACATTTTATCTGCTGAATATTTTTAGTTATCCTAATTTTGAAGAAATTTT